AACTTACCTCCTGAAATCTCTTTATAAAGTGCTTGTATCTTATACAAGCAACTACTGTTTGATTTTCTTACACAGTGGAACTCTCTTACAAATTCCTGTCAGAGATTAGAACTAATTATTTGTTCTGCATGACAAAAGTCCTCAGTATATGAGACACATTAGATCCAAGGTATATCAGCAAAAGGACTAAGTCTTTATATTGAGGTACCACTCAATCCACATTTTTGTAATCGTTATCACCTTCTACTCCTTTCCTTTGACCATCTTATAAACTTCCAAGGTACAGGGAGTATACCTATATCTACTGCAAAGTGCCTAATACAAGACACAGACTGTAATCTTGACATCTGTTATGGACAAATATTTTGCAAACTGGACTCTGACATTAAAAATAAAGGGAGGAGTTAGGACATCCAACACAAAGTCACAGCACCCAGCTAATGCATCATTTGGAAGAAATTTTCTGTAGTTACTGAGCACGCGCACGAGCACATGCATCTGTGTCTATGTGTACAACCAGAAACAGTAACTTCTCTATGACTCAGCAGAGATATAAGAGGATGAATGAAATCTGCATGTAAAGTATGTGCAATCATGCACAAGGACAGTATTAAGGGGCTTCCAAGGTTCATTCAAGCAATGCTATGTGCCAAGCATTGTGCCACATTCTGGAGAAGACAGAAATAAGAATGGGATGAGATCTATAGAACTGGAAGCACACTGGTGGATCTAAAGTCTTCAGGCTGCTACCTCCCTAACCTTCTCTGAACTCTCTCCTGGTTTTCCAGCTGCCCAATCTCTCTGTTAGTCTCTATGCTGATTTCTCTTCTTTCAACCAATCTCCAAGTCAGTAGTTCTCAAAGTGTGGTCTTGGGAACACAAGCATCAGCATCACCAGAGACCTTCTTCAAAATGCAAATTCTTGACCCCACTCAGACTGTTGGGGCCCAGCAATCTGTGTTTTATCAAGGTCTCAGGTATTTGTGATGCATGCTTAAGTTTGAGAACCATTCAAAGTTTGATCCAAGCGTTAATGTCCAAAAGTTCCATTCCTTGTCCTTTCTAGTTCTCATTCTCCATCTTTCTGGGTAGTTATATATTCTTCTACTACCTCTACAATGCTAACTAAAACTACCACTACTAACAGCAGCAGTTATCTTAAGTATTTATAAGGTAGGCACTATGCTAATCACCATGCACATATTATCTTAATCTCCACAACGATTCTTTATTACTAACCCCACTTTTCAAAGGAAATTTAGGCTTAGAGATATTAAATAACTTGCCCAAGGTCGCCCAACTCAACCAATAAGTTAAGCAGATCTGACCTCCAGTTTTCCTGACCCCAAAGTCCACAGCGTTAGCTGCTATACTCACTTCTAGAATAGTACTATGGAAACATATCCTTGAAGACTGTCACAGTTATTCCTAAACTGTCTCATCAACTCTGGAGTAGAATTTCCAGTCACCTAGTGGCTCTCTCTAAACTCTACACAGGGACCCGATAATTAACATTAACATCATTTCTTCTCTCCCCTGCATATCTGTTCCTCCTCCATTAATTTAATGTCATCATAATCATCAGTTACTCAAGCCAGACACATCTTTGACTTCTCACTCTCTCACCTCTAGCTGGTCATAACATTTAGAGATTTTAACATCTAAAATAGCTCTACAATCCATCCACTCCCACCTTCCCTCTTCAAGCTCCCAGCAGCTCTCATCTACATCCTAACTGGTTTCCCTGCCTCTTCACTCTCATGCAATTCTGCACAGGACCTGTCAGTTAACTTTCTGGTCTGATTAGTCCACCTTCTAAGGCTCTCCATCGCCAACATGAGAGGGGCATTGGCAGGGTGGGGGGTAAGTCTAAGCTTTTTAGAATGGAATGAAAGACCCCAATGTAATTTGGCTCCAAACATTCCTTTCCTGTCTCATCAAGAAACAACTCAAGGTTTTCCAAAAACCCTATTAGTTTTAATCTTTGACAACTTTGCTTATGTTCTCCCCTCTGCTTGGAATGTTCATTTTCCCTTTTACATGTGCAAAATTCTACGCAACCTCCAGGGTTAAGTTTCTATCCTCTTCTTGTGAAAGCTTTCCCTGATTCTATCAAATTTTCCCCAAAGTGATCAATGCCCTTAGCATTTTACTTATTCCAAAGTGATTAACTCTTATACCACAGGTAGGGGTTCCGTAGTCTAATGAACACTTAGTATCTCAAGAGGTGTCTTATTCTTTGTCTTCCCAGCACTGACCACAGTATCTAGCCATAGCCAGCACCCAATAAATATTTGCTGAGTTGTTAAATAATGCAACATATGGTGTTGCAACTTTACACATGGTAGGTTAGCAATCCAACTTCAGGTTTATTCACCACTCCAAAGAATTTCCACATTAAAAACAAAAGATATTATAAAGAACAAAGGTTCAATATTCAGCAGCAATATCTTTAATTTTCTCAAAGCTTTCTGTCAATATTTTTTAGTGTCTTTCTTCAAATAGACTCCTTTCCTAGCAAACATTATTTGTGTATTTTACAGGATCAGCAGTAACTACAATCCTCACAGACCGCTATAAGAGATAATCCCAAGCAAAACTGTGTTACTGAGAGTGGCTGGATAATTGCTCTGGGTACATCATTTCAGATTTCCAACGGGAAGGCCCAAGCCTGACAGATTTTAGAAATGGGGACATGCACTGCCGACTACATAAGATACACTCACATTAGTGAGGCATTTATTCAAATTAGTAACTGAATTCAGAAGTATACAACAACCTGATCCTGGTTCAACCATAATATCTCTTAATTTTAAGTAAGGATAACACTTATTTTTGTCTAGGACTCTACTTTAACACAACTCCCATCCCACCCAGCAAGCAGGCCCTATCCTGCTATCAGTGTGATGCTGATAAGCTTGCCTTAGTTTTTTGTTTTTTTAAGATTTTATTTATTTATTTATGAAATACACACACACACAGAGACAAAGGCAGAGGGAGAAGCAGGCTCCTTGCAGGGAGTCCGATATGGGACTCGATCCCAGAACTGTGGGATCACAGCCTGAGCCAAAGACACACGCTCAACCGCTGAGCCACCCAGGCATCCCGGCCTGCCTTAGTCTTAAGACATTCCCTCTCCAGCCTGCTAAACCTTCTCTCTCCAATATCTCCCTATCAGAGATCTTCTACTCCACTCACCAGACATGACACGAAGGTCTCCTCAATATAGCCCTCATCCAGCAGATTCACACTATTTTCTCAACATATGATTTATCTCTTCTCTAATTCAAATTTTGTAACTCTTCCAAAGAGTTCACTACCTCAGCCCACCACAGGTCTTGGTTTTTCTAAATTTCCGCTGCACTTAAAGTACAGCACCTCACATAGCACTTGTTTACATACTGCCTCATTTGGTTTCATAATGATTTGACATACATATGCTTTGTTTTCCTAGCCAGATTTCTCTTTAAAAAAAGCCAGCTCTTCTATGTCATTTGTACCCATAACCCTTCTCCCACATGTAACGTGACTATATGCACAGGGGCACATGTATTAACTACTAGATGGACGAAGTTAAACGCTTGCTCTACAGCAATAAACACTCATAGTGCAATGTGTAACGAATACCTATAACCTGCGTACTCTGTGGCAAACGCTCTTGTAGATGCTTAAGATATGGCCATGAGTAAAAAAGACATGATACCTGTCCTAAAAGCTGGTACAGTCTGGAGAGCAAGAGACACTGAATTTCCATGACTCTTAGTGCTACAGAGCAAGGTCATTATTGGTCCCAAGATGCAAGCACCTCAGGCAGCACACTTTACGGATCCTTACTTAGGAAACTGGCCCACAATATTTTAGAGCTGAATGAAAACTTACAAGTTACTCTCTTCAATTCTCCTGCACAGATTATACGACTGAATTTCAGTACAGTCTCTGTGCCAGTTCCACGCCTTGTCTTCATCAAAAGTCAGGAAATACCCACTTTCCCCCCGCCTCCAATACTCTTTTCTCCCAAGAAAGGTAACGACAACCACCACACATTGACTCATGAGGGGAGCGGGCGCACTGGGACCACTGGGCTGATGACCTGCTGCACCTTACACCCAGGCCTGTCCGCCCACCACCATGCTCCAGCCCGCACGTGGAAGAGAATATGCATTTTTCTGCCCGGTAACTAGCAAGTGTGTACTACTTTTAAAGGAAATTCAAAACAAAACAAAACAAAACGGCAGTGCCTCCATCCTTCCTCGGTCCTCATAAGGACAGAAACACAACAGACTTCGGGGAAATAAAAAAACAGCTGATTGGGAGTCTACGAGGATGGATATCCGCCCCCGGCCTCAAAACCCGTAGCAGCAGCGTGATAGGATGCGCGGGGCAGAGCTGTCCGCGGGCATCAGGCACGTGCACAGGCACGTGAAGTTGGAAAGTCCTGGCAACAGGTTGGCCGCCCCCTCGCAGCACTGACACCGCCTTCCCCAGGCCGTGGGTGTGTCTGACGCCGCTCGCCCGCACGGATTCACAACTCTCCCCACAACAACCGGCTCCCCCTCGGATCCCAGCCAGGGCAGGGGCGAGGACGCGCCCCGCGGCGCCAAACTTTCCGCACCCCCACCGCGCGCCCCGCGCCCCCCGCGCCCCGCGCCCCCCGCGCCCCCCGCCTCCCCTCGGGCTCGGTCCGCCGGGTCTCAGGCAGGCTGCCGGGCGGCTCTGGGAGAGCCTGGGCTTCTCCAGACTGCGGCTCCTCGGCCCGGGAGCCCTGGCGAAGCCGCCCCGACGCCCCCAGACACCTACTTCCCACCACACCTTCCGGGACCACACGCCGTCGCCCGGCCCGTCGCCGCCGCTTCCCCGAGCGCCCGTGCCCAGGAACTGACCCTCCCCCGCCCCCGGAAAAAGCGGCGGAGGGGCGTGGAGCGGCGCGCGCGGGGACCGCCCCGGGCCCGCCGGCAGGTGCGGCCAGGCCCCACCTCCCCCGCGAGGCGCCGGCCACTCACCCCGACGAGGTTCCTCTGCGACCTAGCAGCCCGCACCGACGCCTCCTCCGCCCGCTCCGCACGCCCCTCGTAGCCACCGCCCCCTCGGCCGCCGCCGCCGCCGCCGCCGTCCTCGCCGACGCCGCCGCCGCCGCCGCCGCCGCGGCGCGCGTCCGCCCTCACGCACAGCGCCGTGGCCGCGCACGCGCCTCTGCGCGCTGGCGTCACTTAGCAACCGGGCGGCTGCGGCGGCGGCGGCGGCGGCGGGCGGGCGGGATCTGACGGTTCAGGGCGGGAGGTGTCTCCCCAGGCTGGTTTCGCGGCGTTTCCCCACCCGCCGGACCCGTGGCCCTCCTGAGCTGGGGGCCCCAGGGTGTGGCTGCCCTGCCGGCACCTGGCTCCGGGTAAGGCACGTCACCGTACGTCACCGTATTGCGTCACCGACTCGTCACTGCGGACGGGACGGTCCCTGTCGCGAGGTTCAGGGAGGCTGCGGTGGAAGGAGCAGTGGCCTCGTCCAGACTGGCGCGGATCCCGTCGGCCGCTTCTGTGAAGTGCGGGGAGGTCCCGCGGGGAGCGGGACCAGAGGGGGCTGCGGGCGTGGTCAACGTGGGGAACTGCTCAGTGACTCCTCAACCCGGCGGCGGGGGGTGATGAGCGGAGCCTTGAATTCCCCGGGGTCCTCATATCATAAACGGGGCGGCAGGACCCATCCTGCCTACGTTGGAGGATTGTGAGGCTAAGAGGAAAGAATGTTTGCGGAGGCGCTTTGGGTAGTATAAAGCCCATTAGGCTCTAAGTGATTTTTTTTTTCTTAAAATTAATTTTTATTGTTAGGAGAAGGCAGTCGAGCAAGAGCAGATGAGAGCAGGGACTTTGGAGTCAGAGAAACCTAGATTCAAGTCTGATCCTGGCTGATGTTGATTACTCAAGTTCTGCTTGACGCTTGGGCAAACTGGGGTACCAGGCTGTGGGGGGTTGGAGACTAACTATAAAGGGCGTAATTCCAGGCAAAGGCGGTTTCATAAGCAAAGATATGGGAGTGAACGTGGACAGAAGAGTAAGACTTAAGAGCGGGAGACCAGTATTGAGGCCACTGCTCTACTCCAGTCCAGTGATAAGGGCCTTAACAAAGGTGTGGGCGGCGTGGGCGGGGCAGCCTGGGTGGCTCAGCGGTTTAGCGACGACGCCTTCGCCTTCGGCCCAGGGCCTGATCCTGATCCTGGGACCCAGTATCGAGGCCCACGTCGGGCTCCCTGCATAGAGCCTGCTTCTCTCTCTGCCTCTCTCTCAAGAATAAGTAAATAAAGTCTTTATAAGAAAAAAACAAAGATTTCGGCTGTGGAGATGTAGGAGAAAGAACGCGTGTGAGTGCTGTTCGGGTGGTCAGCACTGAGTGGAGGCATACGTTTTTAGTGTGGGTGCTGGAGTAGATGGTAGAACCATTTAGGAAGATGGGAAGAAAGATGAGTCTGGGTTATCCACGGTTTCTGTGCTAAGTTACCAGATGGTAGTGGTGACCGTGGTTGGAGGATGATGAGATTTGTGGGATGAGTTACTCGGTGATGAGTTCAAATATGGATATGCCTATTGTGGAAACGCTTAGTCTCCACTCATGATACTCTTCCATTTGAAGTGATATCCCTTGATATAATATGCCCTCTCGTGGCACCTGCCCCAGCTCACTCCTCCCTGAAGGAGTGACTTCCTGATTGGTGAATCTAAAAGGAGAAACTGGACATAATATTGCCCACCCCATTCTTTTCTTTTAGAAGAAAATTGTCTTCAAAGAATTGCCTCGGTGTGTTCTCTGCTCCTCCAGGAGCAGGACCTGAGTGGGGTTGAGGGTGCCTGGTCCCAGGCTACAAAGTTAGTAAACCTGTTTAATTTCAGAATTTGGCATTAGGAGCCTCTCTGCCTTCAGGTAATATCCAGTACCAACTTCATCAGAATAATGGTCCCCCAATGATGTTCATGTGAATGAATCTGTGAATATGTTCCCTCCCTTAACATGGCAAAAGGGACTTTGCAGTTGTAATTAAGTCGAGGATCTTGAGATGGAGAGATTATTTTAGGTTATCTGTCTTTGCTTGGAGGTAGGAAGGTCAGAATCAGGGAGAAAGATAAGATGGAAACACAGGTAAGAGAAAAAGAGAGATCTGAAGAATATGTACTGCTGGCATTGAAGATGAAGCCAAGGAATGCAGACAGCTTCTGGAAACTGGAAAAGGCAAGGAAATGGATTCCCCTTTAAAGTCCCCAGAGGGAATGCAGCTCTGCCAGTACCTGGATTTTAGGATTTCTAATCTTCAGACTAAGGTAATAAATTTCTGCTGTTTACTAAGTTTGTGGTATTTGTTACAACAGCAATAGGAAACTAATACAATCAGTAGTAAAGATGATATTTGGTCTTCTGCTACATTATCTTTTATGTGAAAAAGAAGGGTGCAGTTTCATAGGCTCCCTCAGAGACATTGTGACTGTGACTTGATGGAGGGAACCTGCACATCCAGAGGGAGATGTCCAAGAAGAAATTGAATTACACTATGAATGAGGAGAGAGCTCGAGTCAAAACAAAATAGATTTAGAGGACATTAACTTTTAATTGGTGATTTAAGTCCTAGGCATGGATGAGATCAATCAGGGAGAAAATATAGAAGCAATAAAGAACACCGAGGAGAGAGTAAAACTGACTGTAAAAGGGAGTGGCAGATGAACAGAAGCCTACAAAGTCTGAGGAATGATGGCCAGAGAGGTAAAGGAACTAGATGAGCATAATACCTCAAAAGCCAAGATTGGAAAGAATTGCAAGATGGAGATAGGTCAGCAGAGTCAGAGATCGCAAATAGCTCAAGTATATCGAGAGCTGAAAAGCACTGATTAGATTTAGCAACACAAAAATGATTGGTGACCAATAATAATGGCTTTAGTGGGGTAGTAGATATAGACATCGAATCACTAGGGTCTGAAAGGCAGGTCAGTATAGTGGATTGGACCCTGCAGTGGTTTTCAAGTGGAATTTTAAAACTCTAGTCTGGGTTCTGGCAACAAACTAGCTAAATGACCTTGAATAAATCACTTAACTATTCCAGGCTTTGGTTTTCTCATCCACCCAAAGAGAGATCAGGCTGTCTCTGATTTTCACATAAATTCCTGGGTAATCCCCCCAACTTTATATTAAACTCACTTGCTTATAACAGCACACTTCAAATCCTACTCAGATTACTTCACCAAACATTGATACTCAGTATATTATATGCCAGCTTCTGTGTAGACACTATGGCTCTGACATAGTCATCTGAGAAGCTCACAGATTTTGGAAGGGAGGTAAACACATAAGTAAGTATGTAACTAATCACCATAGTTCTTTTTTAAACAAAGCAAGGTACAAATTGAATGAACTATTATCTGTAACACAGTATTCCACGTGCTATAGTAGAAACCTCTATGAAATGAAATGAGGGATGTATAAAGCGATACAGATAAGGCGGCAGTTTTGTCTAATGGAAATCAAGGTATTTACCTACTCTCTCAGGCACAGTATGCCTCAGAAATGGATATAACCGTACCACAACATTTTCAACGGTTGTTAAAAAAAAAAAAAACAGGGTTGTGCTAAGCCAATGCCAATCATTAAACATTCCTCCTAAGTAGTTTTGTGATCTGAAAGATTATTTATGTACAACCAGTTCTAAACAAATTACACTGTTTAATTGGGAAAAAATGGACATGTGTAAAAGTTGAATGCTAGAGGAATTCATTGACTTTTCCACCAGATCCAAGAAGAAACATCTATTTATTATACATACCATGTTCTATTACATCTGCTTATCTACTCCTCAGTATCTCATTTAATTTTGTAGACATACGCTTACTGTAGCAACAGCTGACATTATATCTCTATTATAGCGGACGAGAAAACAAAGTTGAAGTAATCTGGTCAAGGTCATACTAACAGCAATTAAGTAGTAGACTAAGATTTGGACCCAGCACAGGCATCCATCTTTCCTCAGCCCTTGGTTTAAGTGCCCTTCCTCTATACTATCACATCATGTGCACACTTTTTCTTTAGCATTTATTATAATAATGATGCTTACTATATGCCAGGTCTTGATTTAGGTAGATACTAGGCATTAACTCATTTAGGTCTCATAACAGCTCTTTGAGGTACGTGGTATTAATCACAATACTTTATAAATCAGGAAACTAAGGCACAGAAAGATTAAATAATTTACTCAGGGTCACACAATAATTGATGGGGCCAGGATTCAACCCTAGGCAGTGAGAGCCTAGAGTCTATGCTTTTCCCTCCAGGCTGCTACTTTCATACCCTCTGCTAACGTTGAGGGATACTAGATGACATAGTTTCCAGAACTCATCGATGCAGTAACTGTAGGTTGTTGTGTATGATATGCTTTGTATTCCTTATTAAGGAACACAAGAGAATTTTTTCTCAGGCCAAATGTCACAATACACTTGGCTATCCTTGAGTAACTGATATGTTTTCTCCTTATAGGCCATGTGAATTATATAACTGTTTTCTCCTTTCACTTTGCCAAGAAGCTCCGAGTAAATTGTGGCTCAGCATTAATTAGTAGCTGGGAGGACTGTTGGTCTGTGTATCTGTATTCTGTTGATTTGAAATTTTTCAAAATAAAAAGTTGGGGGAAAAATAATCTAAATTCTTTTTTTTCTAAATTATTTTCTAAATTTTTGATAGTGTACATTTATAATTAGAAAATGCAAATAAAACAATGTTTGCTGCTTTAAATGATTTCTCAGGCTTTATTCTGTGAACAAGAACTAATTTCAAGTTGAATTCCATGGGTTCAATATAGAGTCCTAGTTCTTAGAAAACCAGGACTTCTGCATTTCTTGGAAGTCCAGATCAATAGAATTTGTGTTCAAACAGATCATAAAGTATTTCAAGTAGCATGCATGTTGTGGACCTCCTTGTTTTTAAACTATTTCTAAATAATTTGAAAACCACTTTTGGATTATTTTGACATGCACTACCTTGCTTTAAAGATAAAAAGTCAATTATCTTCCTTAATGCTGATATTTTATTATAATGAAGTTTCATATACACTTGATTTTGTGATTTACCTTTGACTGAAAGAATGGATA